AATCCATCCGCCACCGCCGCAACCATCACCACCACCAGTGCAGCCTGAATGTCCCCATTCACTGCCCTTTGATTGTCCGCTTCCCCTGTCTGAAAATTGGGTCATTATCCGTCGAATAAAAGGAAGAAAAGATGAAAAGAAGAAAGTTATCACATTCTATCTGCTATCACAATGGCTTTGTTTGTACTCCATGCTTTTTTGTTTCATCGCACTGTTCTTGTTGTTGTTTTCTCAGCATCTTACAACTAGTGTTTGACGGTGGGTTTTTTTTTTTATCTTGAATGCCTTGTCTTGTTTATTCGGGGTTTCAGTCACGAAACACAGATCAGTATATATCGTTTTCACCCACAGTTTCGTTCGCGTACGAAGGAGATCAGAGGCAATGGATACAGTTTAAATTTGGGCTTTTATCATGCTTTTCGCTATGCACTTCTACTCGACTCTTGATTATTATTTTGATCAATTCATGTGTAGCATTCAATGTTACCCATGCATACAAACATCTGTATCCATAAAATGCTTACCAAATGCGAATGAACATTTGCAAAAAGATGGAGTGGTCCCGATAAATCAAGGTTGTGCTGACGGACTCAACGATCAACTTCGTATGTTCGCATAAGCCGGTGATTTTAATACAGCAGAATGTTGCTACTATTGGTCGGTCAGACGATTACAACTTAAACTGTATTGAACACTGGATTGGTGTTCATTCATAATGCATGTTTCCGTGATTAGGACAGGATGACCCCCTTAGTGCTACGATGCTGCTCTTGTGACCGGTGCCAGAATGCATATATCGCCGTAGTTATGGCGAAAACTAGATTTGTGCTTATGGCCCAAAGCTTCAGATGAGCCTCGAGTAAAAATTGGGTGCGAAAACGGGTAGTAAAATGTCATCAATTATCCTATCAATTTATTTATTTGGATTTACAAAGCATCTTAATGATTCCTTTCCACAGAATCATTCATTGTTCTGTCATCTCATTGTCCACGCCAAACAATCCTTTTATCCTGTTGATATTCGTCTCGTTCTGGTTATCGTCTTCTCACATAACTAAACGAGTGCTCAGTTTTCCCACTCTCAGGTCAGTTTAGGGGCAGGCAGACATACGCACCGCTCACACCGTATGCATTCAACTACACGAATTCACTATAGTGACCTCCATCGTATCTGCTGATGGGTTGAACCATTAGCCTTCTGTTCATGTTTCATACCAGTTCATTGTTTATCGATTATCTAACCACCCCGACACGCACGTGACCTGCTCCTCCAGAATTCGAATAGTGTGCGCCCAACTTGGTCGCATGATTGGTCCATTCTTTGGCAGCTTCATGTCACTGCCAGACTGGATTGATCTCGTTTGACTGCACTTTCTCTGGTCATTCCTGTCTTGGATACAGTGATGAGCCGTCCCATTTTGAAGCAACCTTGATTGAAAGGTGTATTTTGACACAGACGAACGCTGTTAAATGTCTATTTGACGCGTTTATTTCTGGAAGTGCCTCAACGACTGCCCTAACCCAAATACCTTAAGAATCAATATTTGAAAATGATTTATCATATCATTGATAGAGTCGCGTTAGTCGTACCGTATCAGAACACAATCTTGCATTTCATTGTGTTGTAACCGAGAATTCACGCCTCAGTTATCGGCAGGTTTAATACAGGACGACAGTCCAACTTAACTCCATTGAAAAGGAATTAACGCCTTTGTTTTTTTATATCATCAAACACCACGTGCTCTACTAATGTGTTTAATCTTCTTTGATTGTATACTGCCTTCTTGCGGGGAACACAAATTATCACGTCTATTGTTTGTTCTCTACTTCCATTTCAAATTTCCAAATTAGTCAATCGGTTGAACAAGCTTCTGCAGGATGATTATTCCCGAGATGGCAGTCAGTGCAGCGTGACCAATCCTAATCCCGTGATTGGTGTCGCATTGACCAACCGGCTCAAAGTTGGGTGAGTTTCTTGTGTGTGTGTGTGTGTGTGTGAGAGAGAGAGAGAGAGGGGCNATGGGACGCAGTTGAGGATAGATTTGCAGACTGAACTAGACATGTGCCAAAACGTTCGATACCGAAAGGACACGGAACTAATTGACTTTTATGAGAGTTGCGTCAATCAAACATTTTGTTTATATGGTATAATCCAGAAGTCAAACTGACAAATAATCTCGTTTTCGGTGATAAGACAATGCTTTATTGATAACAAATCTAATCCATGTGACGTCAACTAAATATTAAACGTCATAATTTATTGATAGAACTACTACATACGTATTCTCCGCGTTCGGTGAATGGCAATTCACAAAGCTGGCAAACCATGAGGTCAGTTATCCGAAACGTGTTCTGTAAACCGTTCAAATAGCCGCCACGGGAAAACCGAAACCGAAAACACTGGAAAAGTTTGATTACGAAATACAACTAAATGGTGAACCCAACAACTAGCATCCACTTCATCATATTATTATATTTGCCGCCTTGTAGAAACTCGTCATTGACATCGTCATGTTTATCTTCCCACAATTATCAGTAATGTAACGTTGCCACTGATCAGGGAGAGACTCGAATGCTTGACAGTTGGTTCAAACTTTACCGGTTGCATAGCCACAAGGAAGATTCCAAACACAGTTGTGGTGGCACAAGCAATGATCAAAACAAAACTTTAAGGAAATTAATTAAGATTCTGTACGTAAACCTGGGGATTAATTGTCCTAATTCTTTCGCCACCTGTTTTATAGTAACGGTTGCGCAAATATTAAGAGAAATGTATGATTGAAAGAAATATCTACAGCCCAATGAGATTAAATTGATGAATGCGACATCATTTACAAACACTCTAAGTAACTTCGACGGTGGAATTAACAAATAATGGGTGGAAACGGGCACAAACATGGACCGATTTCTTCGCCAAACTGCTTTTTCTTTCAATGTGTGCCGCTGGTTTATTCCGAGAAGTTCTAGGTAATTCGTGGGTTTGTTTTTTATTTGCGAGTTCTAACTACTCATGAGTAGTAGTTCACCATGAGTCAATATTCTTGGTATTTCTGATAAAACCGAGATGAAATCTCTCCCAGGAGTTTTAGATATGCTGCGACATTTGACAGTGAACTCAATCGAGAAATCACAACGCTACAAACGTATTGTTTCCGCAAATGACATCTTCGGACGATTCTTTTGCCGGCATCAGTATTCTCTATAATTTCGACTGACGATGAAAAAATCGGTCCGGTTTTTGCGTTGGCTGAGCTCTATCAGCAGAATGATCATTCCGCCCATTCTTTTAACTAACATTCGCTCGCTCGTGGGAAAAATCGATGTCCATAATCTGGTGCACCAGAAATAATGCAAAAGTGCGTGAGCCATTTTACTCCAGGAAATTTGGTTACACCCAGACATCGAGGATTGCGTCGTTGGAATGACTACGTTCGATATTTTCAAGATTGACGGGATTGTGAAGTACCTCAACAGCCGTGGTGGAGTGATCACTTTTTTCAATCGAAGTTGGTGTAACAACAATCAGTTATTATTTAACTTGTCAACCTTCAAAATATTAGTACTTTCGTTCGCTGCAAGGCCCGCTTTCTAAGCAGATTTTGCTTTGTTTACTTTGTGAGTATATATATTGCACTTGATAAACCGGCCTCGGATCTAATACTGTTTGCTGATACTATAGTAACACAATTCGCCACTTGTATTGAACATTCTTTGTGCATTACCGCTGGAGATCGCAACAGCTTTGATACCGCGTTTCTAACTATTCTAGTCTTAGTGAGCCTTTTCAATTTCCCAACCCAAACTAATGCTCATCTCGATGGCCTATAAATTACCGTAATTTGTCTTATATTCTTAAACGAGCTCCGATTAGCACTTCTGACCAGTGGAACATTCATTCCTATCCCAAGGTTTACTGTAAAACTAACTATTACCTTCACACCCGACCCACTTGTCATACTCTAAAGTAAATAAATTGTTCCTCGGAGAACTTAGCCAGACTCTGGGACTTTGTTTCTTTTATTGTCTTTCCCAATAATCAGCTCTCTATTTTTGCGAACATCTTATTCACTGTCTTAATTTCTGTTATGACCAATGTTGCCCTGTGGAAACTATTTGTATTCGAACTTTTAGTGTTTCCTTCTCTTCTCCCGAAGCGACTCTGTTATTCTAAAGAAACGGTAGGTGTAAGAGTGTAAAAGAACTATCTGTTCTAATTAGAGCTGAACTAAGGAGCCCGAACGGATCGTACGTTGAGACTGTTTTGGGTGATAAAAGCTGTCGTGAGATGTGGACTACTCTGCGAAAACCCTTTGGCTGACGCGCTCGCTACCTGTTGAATCAGATAATTAACTCCTCGCCTCAAGCTTCCTTCCATCTCCTGTTCCAAACCATGCTGTTTTCTCGGACGAGGTTCCATAAGTCTGGAGCAGATTCAAGGTCAACAAATTCCCGATCTATTAACGCCATTTTTTTTTTGAAAATATGGATCAAACAGCTTGCAATATCTATTAATGAATTTTCCAGTACCTGTTTGTCATATGGAACGATCCGCGATTGTTGAAAACCAGTCCGGATCAGACCGGTTGCAAAGAAAAGATCGTCAAACTACCGCCCAATTGCCTGCGCATCTGTGTTACTGACAACTTTTGGAAATATTTCGCTGCACCACTGCACCCACTATTGGTTAATCATAATCAACTCAGGAAGAGACCATGGTTTTGAATTTTTTCCCTCATGTATTACAGTTTCCAACCGTTTTATTGATTGCCATTGTACAAGTTTAAAAAATGCGGAATTCCCCCCCCCCCCCCNATCCATGCAGTTAATTTTCCTCTCGGTCATTCTGATGGCACTCCGTAAAATCCGTACACACACATCATCTTCTGTTGCTCCCATAGTTTCCTCTAACGTGGTGAACTGTAAGACCTTGTGCAACCAGACTCATACACGAAGCATAATGGAATGCGTTGATGTACCCGGTTTGCGAGACCGCTGATGCGTTTGTATGACTTCTATTCATTTCGAATCATGATGAGAATTGACTTGCATTCTGAGTTTCATCCTAGAAAGTATTGCATAACTCTGCTTTGTTTCTTTTTACTCCAAAAAATAGAAACGAAAGTCCGGATCGCCTTTTGGACTACGCGTCGATCTTCGCGTATTACCTGTTCCGGGAATGGAACTTGCCCTTCAAATGTCACACTGGATCGGATAAGATTATCATTTTCTACTCGAAGGATGACGGCGTTGTGAGTATAATTTCACAAACCGGTTGTCCTATAGGTATTGCTGGACTCTTACTTTTGTGCGCTAGAATTCAGGATACATACTCATATTGCACCTAGTAGTGTATGAATGGTTCGACAAAATTTCTCTGGACGCACTCAACTGGTTTCGTAGTTCTTGCCGATCGTCAAGCATGCATATTCGGTAATCTTTTATCAATTCGTTCATATACTTGTACTCAGGAAGTGTATTTTTATCACATTAGCTTCATTTGCAACACAGGGGTGAATGAGTTTGGACAGCTCTATGAGAACCAGTTCACTGATGAATCAATGCTCTGATTCGATTATTGGTAAATGGGTTAGATGTTACTAACCTTAGGTTAAGTTCGTCGCGATTGTATTTATACAAAATGTTGCTGTACCTTACGGTGATCTCAATTGTCATTTGTAGTGGTTGTTTTGTTGAATGTTGCATTTCCACATCCAAATTAGCTGCCTCGAAAAGGACAGCATGACATAGAGCGTCTCAAGTTGTTTGTCGTCAGATCCCGGAAAACACCGGGTTACCCGTTGCGAATATAATGCACTAGTATCAAACTCAGCCTTATGTTAAATGCGAACTAAGTTGGAAATTAGGAAGAAAAATCGTATCAACTGTCCAGTCGGCAACGGGCTTCTGTAAAGTTGTGAGCAACAAAGCCATGGAACACCTTGGCGTGAGCATTTCTCATATGTTTTACTCTGCGTCTGACAAGACTGAAATAGGAAAATCCCATTGTCACAGAGTGTGGCTAATCGTTTTGCGTGGTCACACGTTACTGTGAACGCGGAGACTTCGGACAGCGACGAGTCACAATGAATCGTAATCCCTATGCGTATAAATCATGCTCCGGGATTTAGAAAAACATGAATAATCACCAATTACCAGGATGGACTTACACCCAAACTCTCGTTGAATAAGTAATGGTGTCTTCACAAAACTAACTAATGGAGTTTTATGCATTTCTAAGGATGCGGATTCAATCTGCTTTCTCGTCCTTTCAGTCAGATTGTCCTAAATCTTAGTCTGCCTTACTGCAAAAACCGAGTTTCAGTTTTTGCAGCCAATAACAATACACTTTCGTGGCTTTACTCACATTCCATTTGGGTGCGTGAGTAGAGGGAAGATTGAAAAACAATAAAATGACTCCACTTAATCGAATAGGATGAGAATATCAAAAAATAACTCACTAACGGTTGCACCGATCCGATTCAAATTACCTGTCTGTATTAAAAAGAGCCACCTCGATGTGTTGAAGTATCTGGCGTGAACGGAAGTCCTCACTCTGACAGGAGAGTAAGATGTCGAGAGCCAATCACAAACGTAAGCGGTGGTTTGCCCCGTAGTGGATTATACGTAGAACAAAAAACTGCTTTCAATCCGGTATCACACAATACCTCCAGCGAGCTGAGTACTGTTCATTATTAACAGCGATAGAAAGAGATCACCCTTGTATGATGGGAAATTGCCCGTTATCTTCGACCACCACCACCACCAGACTGTTTGCTAATGGTGATGCATCTGATTTCTGTTTTGGATTTAATGAAGTATGATGCAGCACCATCCACCTTAGCATAAACGGTGCAAGCTAGTTCCGATGTATTCTGTCGTTAAATTTATTACGGGAAATAAATGTTTAAAATGTAATGGGAATCAAACTGTGAGATCGAACCATTTATTCCCGAAATGTAGTCACTTTTTCATTAAATTTATAAGTTTCTCATTAAAATTAAACATACTTGCGGCATGGTGTAGAGTATCAACCGTACGGTACGGACACGAATTGATTGGACTATGTTTTTGCCCTCTCTTGCCTTCATATCGAATAGCTTTACACGTTTGCTGGGGACCTGATCGAACGCAAGCTTTCGTCGCAGCAACTGATCGATATTGCAGTGCAGTCCCGGGTTTACTTCTCGAATGGAATTTATGAGGGTATTGCTTATCTCATTCAACAATACAAGTGAGTTCCAAAAGCAAGTTTTTTCTTTGTGTTCTCACTTCTAGGCGATTCGTGACTGTGAGTTCGGCCTCGAAGATGTCTTGGCGTAGCGTAAAGAGAGGTTGTAAATTCGTTAATAGCCATAGAGATTCACAAGACAGTGGGTTGCTTATCGGTGTTCTATACACTACCGTTCCGAGCTACTTCACTACTCAATCAACCCATGAAAAATGGAATGTGAGCTACCGGCAGCTCGTTTTGCCTTTTTGATCGAGGTCGTGCCGCTAGTGTTTTAACAACCTAATGCAACCTGCAAAAGGATGCGGACAGGGTCGGTGATCTATTGTGCAGTTTGGTGTAGCATGTGGATCAAGTGAAACATAGTAAGTTCAGTCGGGCCTTATTTGGTGATGGATCGAGACCGCCAACCCTTAGTGCGGCAGATGGGATCTGGCAATCTTTTCTAACGCGGTGAGGGGGAGTGCAGTCCGGGCGAAAAACCATCGCCTTGCTGCAACTCGACCATGACCGCTTATATTAACTCAATGTCAACCTCGAATTGTGGCTGCCCCCCCCCGCTCTTCTCGCGAGGGACAAGGAGCATCAGAACTGTACAAACCATACTCGTAGATTCGGAACGCTCGCTTGTTCCGTTTCTCTATGCAGAAGGAGCTTCAAGGTCATGATTACACTCTTAGATTTTATCTGTTACTGAATAAAATCGTATTTTCTATACTTCATCAACAACTTTTAATGAAACACAATTATTTTGCATATTGTTTCATGACTTAAAATTCTATACGCATTTCATCACGTGGTCTAGGATGTTCCTTAGATGCATATGATAACTGGTCTGAGTAAATATATCAAACCAGCATATATTCGGGCTGTTGAGGAGCAACCTGATGAGAGCAGTTCCACGGTATTATCTTGCGCAACTGCGAATCACTTTGTCATTCTGCGAAGTGGCCCCTCGTCTATTTTCCTCTGTCCGGCCCGGTACAGACAGTACTGATAATAATCATGTGTTTGTGGCTTCTCGTACATGCATATAAAAAGCCCACCAATATGGTGACTGGAAAGTACAGTCCGGAGTTTTCGGAGTGGTGGGAAGTGTCAGTAACTCGCTCAACTGATATCGGTGGTGTGTCCGTTATCCGAGCCTCCCGAAAATCTCAGGATCAGGTTAGATACCATCATTAGTACAACTTCAAATGAAGCATATTGTGTAAGATGCTTGACTCGGGTGTGCCACAGGATGTCCCCTGTGAACGAATACACCAGACAACCGCAAGTGGGCCGAGTCTAGGTGTGGGCTGGAACCGTCGTCGACAGACAGGAGGTTCTCCGGGAAGAGGGTGAACTGACAATCTGGAAGAGAGGAAAATACAGAAACTATGAGCCAAAAGGTCCAGTGAGATATGAACACGACTCATACTCAAACGGAATGGCCAGTTGCCAAGGTCGTTACAGTTGCGTCCGTACACACTCGATGCTTGTTTGATTAATGAGAGTGATCCAAGTGGAGCGCATCCGGATCAGGTAAGAAAGAAGACATGCGGTCATTTTGGGAGGGTATAGGATCAACACCGTACTTCAGGCTTGCATTAATTTAGTCATTGCTCGTGTGTACACCAATTTTGCAGTGTTTGCTAAACTTGGTCTGTATCAATGTTTTTGTGGACGCGCATCAACAACACTAGCTTTCCGTGCGTCGATCAAGACACACAAATCGACACCGAAAGAAGACGCTTCGTTTGAAGTCCCGACAACAATGTGACACTGCTTAGTCACGAGACAATGCTCAGGGCATTAAATCATACGCACCACATGCACTAGGTGATTCACCGCTATGAAAATCAATCTTCAAAAAGGGCATATTGAAATATTCAAGAAGCGGACGATTGATCTGGTCTACCCTAAATATACATTTTATTTTTCATACACTCGTCTGAGTTCAGACTGTGTATCAAACAAACCACAGTACAATCACGGCAATAAAAAGAAAATGATCCGCGATTTACTCGAGGGAACGATACTGCTAGTTCGCTCAGGTCAAAGTAGGATAGTTCACAAACGGAGCCTTAGGTTTGCCTGATCCTCAAAGTAGCGGGACAGTGTGCGGAAACCGCAGCCTATTGCGGGTCTGTGTCCAGTTCATCGGGTCATATACCGTTTGGACGTGATCAAAAGGCCAAGACGCTCAATACACCTCGATGCCTAATCGAGCCGTTGACCACTGCCGCAACGAAGGAGGTATATTGTTGGTATGCTTCTTCTTTGTTAGTTTGGAGGCAGGGTTCTCAGCCAACTCCCCTAGATGAACTGTTAGTGGTTCACTGACCCGATTATAGCCCAGGGTATTGACTTTTGTCCTCTCACTTGGGTGTTTAAACCTCCACCATTAAAAGGCAATGAATAGGTCTTTCTCAGCTAAAGCTGTTTGAGACGTCTGGTTATATGGGAACATTTCGCGAGGTGAAAGGGAGGGATGATCAACCGCAACCCCAGATACCCACCCTCGACTAAGCTGAGGATTTCGGAGGCGTCTAGCCCCAAAGAAGACATGTTAATGAAATCCACAATCTCGATTGCAAAATGTAACCAACGGTTCGAAAATACAACTACGACTTCCCACAGCAACACCATGGAAACAGTGCACAGGTAGTTCGTCCTTATTAGAAACGTTCACCACCAGATTTACACATGATTCATGAACAGAAGCACGAGAGGTTATTAAATCGGTTCGGAATATCCCTACCATACGTCAGACAATTACTTCTAATTGATACTACATTTTAGAGGTAGGAACTGCATATTTCAAGCTGCTGATCGTACACGTTTGAATGCATTCTAACAATCACTACTTGTGGATTTTATTTTTCAGGAACTCCATTGCAATGGGTCGGACAGATTTGTTCGGAAATAAGTAATTCCCCGGGGGGATTGAACACATTGGAAAATTCCATTGGGCTAACCATGAACAAGGAAAACTGATACGGAAGAACAAGTGTTACCTGCTCTCCCCCCCCCTCCCGCCCCCCATATATGCAGTTCCTCCAGTTCAGACCATCATTAATACTGACTATTATTGTTACTAAACCTTGTTCAAAACGTGATCTGATTGTTTCCGTCTCTCTCTCTCTCTCTGTCGCTGTTCTCTCCTCCGTTCGTCTTTGTCCCATTCTACGCACACACACACACACACACACACACGCAATTGTGTTTTGTCAGTTTCACTTGGCAACGGACCTGGAGTTCTGCTTCATCTGCTTTATTACGCCCGATCGATTCTGATCTTATTTAGCACCTTATTTTTTCTTCTGTTCTAAGCGAATAAAACGCACGTACAAAATTCCGGTCACATCTGTCAGTGGATAGGCATTAAAAAAGTGAGACGTCGACAAAAAGGTGGATCTGACCATTCATTTCTGTAGACCTTTGATTTCTGTTTGTCAGAATACAAAAACATTTCCATAAAAGAAGTGATGATTAGACTGATTATGGGACCGATCGGGGTAGAAAGCGAAAGCGGGAGTGAGGTTGTGTGCTCCCTACATTGTCTGAGTGAACCGAGGCAGGCTTACCGAGCAATTGGTGTATCGGTTAAGCATTCGGTACAGTTGGATCTGGGATTATATAAGACTGTTTGAATTAATCATCACTGTGGAGACGAAAAATTGTGTACACCTTGGTTGTTGACTTCACAGGTTATGACGATTCACGTAGAATGACGCGCAAGAAAAACGGAAGACGGTATCTTTCAACAAATGGCCTGTCTTCCACAGAAACAGTACTGAAATACAGATTAAAATAGTGTAAAATATACAAACTTTAAACTGTGACACTATCCGGTTTAACAAACACCGGAATATGTCAAACCAGTTATTCGACAAGCAAGAAGTGCGAGCAAGCAGGCGCGTAGCGCGATGACAGTGGAACGAAATACACCCAACAATGTGTAGTAGTTGTAGTGCGCACTGATCACGAAATACGAATCATGTATCAAAAATCACGGACGCCACGTAAGCATTGAATCAAACTGATACTAGCACGACAGTATCCCACGCAACCGAGACGCGATGAAAGCGCCACAGAATTAGCAGTTCGTTTACTGAAAGAAATCGTGGAGTTTAAATAATCTGTACAAAACAAATTCATTGGTCACCCAAGCTTCTGCCAATCGCGTACCACTATTTCTGGTGTTGTTCAGCTTCTGTTTGGGTCGCACGGCTTCTGATTGGTTGGCACAACCGACCTATGGTTTGTAGTTCCGAAGCTGTGACACGTACGCCCATTGCTGATGTCACCTGGGAACAAGCACAGTTGTCCAAAAATCGAAACTTGTTGCTTCGTGGTTAGCGTCATCCCGTACGCTAGGATCACCACGCTGCCAGACAAGATTACATGCATCTGTGGTAGTCAATGCTGGAAAGTGGCCTAGAGGGAACCAATCGAGACACAGTGGGCATGACTGTTAGTCGCCAGGGTCTGCCGTGATATGAAAGTGCGTTCGTGCGTGTATGTATGTACACAGATGTCAGGGTCAGTCGATCGTGGGGGCACGGATCGATGAGACAGGCGCGAGCAACATGGAGGGCAACGTAGTGGAGCAACAATACTAATGGTGCGTCCGTATGTGCAGACAGCGTGGAGAACAGTTATAGGCACGGATCAACGGGAGGATGAAATCAACAATACACGGGCAAAATAGAAAGATGAACAATAGGATAGTGGTGCGGGGTGTGTGCATGTAAACAGGGCCAATTTGAGACATAATTTATTCAACATTGGTAATAATAATATTGAGCACCCTGGACGTTTGGACCCGTCCGAAGGACGTATGATCCGATGAACTGGAAACCGGCTCCCAATAGATGGCGGTTTTTACACCGCACTGCTGCTTTGCAGGTCAGGCTTTGGTTAGCCGAAGGCTTCGGTTGTGGATTCCGCAAGAAAATTGACCTACCTTGGCCTGAGCAACCTGGCGGTATTCAGCCTACAAGCCAATCGTGGAACGTTTTTGTTTTTTATAAAGATTATTGTACCATGATTTGCTTGGCACACTGTCTGTCCTCAGACAAGTGTGATATATATATATAACATTGAAAAGGTATGTAACAAATACATCACCCCTTCAATCTTGTGGCACGAATTAGTTTGGTCGAAAGAAGAACAAATGAACCAGCCCAGCAGTAGAACACCAACAGACATCGTTGTGTGATTTACCTCCTCACAAGGTTAATATACTGGTGAGACGTACGCATTTACTGGCAGTGGTGCTGTCCGGGGGTTCATAAAAGGACTGAGGATAAAGCGCGTACAGAATGATGCGAATTCTTTATTTATTTTGTCACCTTATTGCAATCAATGCCTAAAATTGAAGGAAATTTACTTTTATCGATCGCTTACGTGGAACATGTTTATTAATATAACACAATTAACACAAGAGCAAACAATGAATATGAGTGCATAGTTTAATTAATACGCCATGCGACTATAAAAATAATTAGGGGATTGGTTAGCGTGAAGGAGAGGAAATATTTACCTAATATAATAGATGTATTACATAGTAAATATTATAAGTAAATATTTTACTTCGATTTGTTGTTTACCGAGAACACAGTTGTACGGTCAACTTCTAGGACGAGTGTCGCGGCCATAAACGGGTTCCCCGGGAAGATGGATAGCGCGGGGAGGGGGCAGTTCGAACTCTGGACATCTGAGTAGCTATTTTGATTGCTTAAACCACAGCCGTTTCCCCGAGGCATGTCTTACACAAACGATAAAGCCCGAGTTGTTCTGGATCATTCAGGTGTGTTGCGGAAGGTCTCAGTAATTAGCTAATAGAATTACACACTGCAGCAAGTCACATCATACCTGTAAGCGTGGTGCTGATCGACAGGTGGTGAATCTCCATAATCGATAGACAGTTTGGTTATGTCAGTGACCGGAGCATTTTAAAATTTAATTTGTCCCTTGAATCGGGCTAAATTCGGGACAAAACGTGCTTTTGCTCGTGGTATTATAATTCCAGAAGACCGGTGCTGGCTCGAGGAGAATGGTTTATTGCCAAGCAGAGTCAGAGTATGAATAATTTGGCGTACATATCACAAGATACCTCATTTCGAACATGTCGTCACAATTCCCGGCAGCACACAGGATGACGAATATAACAGACCGCAGTTATCAGTTCGAACACAGAAATTCGATCTAAGAAGTCTTGTTCATTTTTGACCGTTGAAAGAAACCGCCAACCACATTATTCCACGTACTACTCACAAATGTGAGTAGTACCCCACAGTAGTAGTAAACAGCAGCCGTAATTTGTCAATCATATAATTACAAACATTTGTACAAATACTGTTGAACAAGTTACAGCTCATTTTGTACAAACACACAAAATTGGATTCACTTCCCGAATTAGCGAAATGTAGATGATAAAAATTAATTTTGGATTTATGTTGATGAAGGAGCGGAAAACAGACTCTCGTTTTCGGTTCGTCAGTGATAAACCAAATCCAGTAAACTTCTTAAGGTCAAAATAAAAAATTGGCGAGAGAATAAAGAACACGGCGTGACGAGGTGAGAGTCAAAATGCGGGCTCGTATTAGCGATTAACAGTTAGGTAATAGGCGTTGTGATAGTTATCATGGTTGATTGTTCTCTGCTCAATTTAAATGATGCACTTTATTCAAATTGAGGCTTGATTTGCTGCCAATGACGGACAGGAAGTTAGGACATCATCACCAATAGTCGATTTCAGTGATGACATCACAGTCGCCCGACCAAATGTCTCACCTTTCCTACTGGACTTTACGGGATTCACAAGCGGTAAATATCAGCAAAGCATCACCCAGGAGGATGTGCGTTCGAATCCAGCCACCACCACCACCAACAACAACAACTGAATTTTCCCGTTCTGTATCATGCGCGGCATCCCTTTGATTGTCCGCTTCTCCATTCCTGAAAATTGGATCATTTTGTATTCGATAAAAGGAAGAAACATAAAAGATAGCAAGCTCGAGGAATTAGGTCGTAGTTTTTTGTCACGGTCAAAAACAAGTCCACCCCTTTGGCTGTTTGGAATACAAAAACATCTGTTTCATTATCTATGAATTTGCAGTTCGCCTCCTTCTGGAGCCGTAAAATCTGATTGCCCCACCCACCCACTTCTGTTTAGGAGTTCCTACTAACTGTCTTCTCCCTGGATGTATTTTCCCACAAAAGTGAGAGGATGAAAAGCCCACTATCGGGGCTTTATCCGGGTCGGTGAATCACTGGTAGTTCACCCAGGGGAGTCGACCAAAAACCCTAATTCCGAACCAACCAAGAAGAGGAGTGCGAACCCCACACACACCTTCCTGGTCTTGGTAGTGGACACCTGCTCACTTGGGCATCAAGGTGTATTGGGCACATTAAACGTTTGACCTCGTCCAAAGGGTGTATGATTCGACGAACTGGACACCGGCCATCAATGGACTGCGGTTTCCGCACACTTTCGAGCCACCTGACGGATCACGCTTTAGCTGGCCGAAGGCTCCGGTTGTGAACTCCCTAGGAAAATTCACGTGCTTTGGTTGAGCAATCTAGCAGTATCGTGCCCTCGAGCAGATCACGAACCCTTTTTTCTCTTTTTATATACAAGATTTGTTAAGAACGTGTGAAATAAACCGACGCACCCACCCACCTTTGAAATGTTGAAAACAATCTGAGTAGTTTTAAAACCACCGCGTTATTAGGTCGAACGACCATCTTTGACGATAACGGAACAAAACAAAAGAAACATACATTGTACCGGTAAAAGCTGACACGCTGAATAAAAGAGCAGTAACGCCTATCGCGCTTTTGTTTGTGCAGTCCAACCAAAATCATCAGGATGTGAAGTCGAACTAAGAGAAAAAAGAGGAAGGAAAAATAATTTCTGTTTAGGCACATTGGAAGAATTTTTCATTTTGTTCCAATTTCGTTGAACAAGAAAAGACAAACCAATAAGAAGCACCACTCGGGACGGGAGCGGGGTGTTTTGGGCGATCCGATAGGACAATCCGAATCATCGCTTATTTCGGTTTCGTGGCCACTTGACGAAATCGATACCGACACACTTGAAGCAGCGTCCGTACCGCGGGAAACATGGCGATCCCGGTCAACGGGATGATCAGTCCGGATGCGACTCCCTCGCCCACCCAGTCGGACAGCTGTCGAGTGAGCCAATGCGAGGATAGACCGAATCCGGTGGTCACTCCGATCAGGCTAATCAGACCGAGACCGAAATACATGTGGCTGACACGTGCAGTCCCGTGGCTGACCAGGTGACCAATTGGCCACACCTTCCAGTGCAACGCGAAACCTGCGAGAGCGACAGCCAGCACAAAAACCACGGTGATCAGACCCAGGAGACCGTGCCAAGTGGCGTAATGCGGTTTGCCGTACAAATTTTTATTCACGAACACGGCAGCTGCTCCCACGCAAATGAGTGTTGCACCGAACAATTGTAAAACCCAATGCCACTGAATCTAGGGAAATCGAAGGAAAAGAAAGATTTATTATCTTGAATGAATTCGTGATAACGATTCGATTCAGCCCACGATTAGCGGTTAGCGTGGGTAACCGAAACGTCGGCTTGTTTTCGCCTGTATCGACATCGCTGTTTTCAAAATTACAACTTATATAAAACATATCATATGGCGCATCGGTTTTTCGATACACTCCGAAGGTTGTTCGGATCTGACACTTTGAAGACCATGCAAATCTTTACACAGAGCACCGTTCACGTAAATACATCGCTCAAGTTTATTCCATGAGTCTAATGGAGAACTTGATTCAATTCCATGAGGGAATTCGTCGTGTATGGACCAAATGAAGCTTGAACTGAAAAGTTAGGAAGCTGTTTCGCATTGGTTGGGTCTCATCAGCAGAGCAAATCAATCGACCCAGCTGTGGACCGAACCCGAGACCTCACAAGCATGCTACCCACTCAGCCACCGGGCAGCTGGTCAAACAAACTGCAGCTAGGACAAAAATGATCAATTCTCATGAACACAGTAGTGGCGTCAGTTATCTAGGGTAGCGATAATCTGGATAGGGCATGCTTACTTTGGATGCTCGCGGTTTCTGCGCGATCCAAGACATATCTCTGTCTAACGCACGAATAGCCCAGGGCATGATTAGCGTCCCGCCGATAGCCACAAGCAACGGATGCCAATCGAACAGCGTTCGTGGTGGCAACACAAACGTGCACACTGTGAGCACGAGAATGGATGGAGCCAGATCCAGGAACCAACTCAGAAAGACTGGAGGCATGGTGAGAGCTGAAAATAGTGGCGAAAAACACATTCGTCACAAGGTGGTATGGGACAAGTGAAGCATGATAAGAAAAACCGGAATCAGCGTTGAGGAACTCCCAACGAAATCAGGGTGAGACTATCTCATTTGAGAGAAAAAAGATCGAGCCAGCTTACCGACAAAGAGTGAGGCGTGATTTTACAAAAAGCAATGTCTATTGTACAGTAATGACCACCGCAATTACAATAAAAGGGGTATGATCTGATGTTCCGAAGATGCAGTGTGAGTAAACCCAAGGAGGAGAACGTTCAGGTATGAACCGGCCGGTTGAGACTGAGTACATAGCATAAATACATAGACTGCGGGAAACGCAGAGCAGGGGAGATTGTCTTAAAGCATGAAATTAACTCATTCAAATGAATGACTCCGGGGTCAGTTGAACAAACCG